GCAGGATTCAGACTTGCTTTTTTTGTCATCTGTAGGACCTCTAGGTTATTGACAGGAGTATATACATATATATGTGTATATAAGTATATATACATATTTTTATAGTATATACTAGAGGCCCGATGCACAAAATTCATGCAAGAGTAGGCCTTCCTTCCCCTGGCTGTTGTCACCCACTTCCCTCCAGCTCCCAGGACCTGGGATTCCCTTTCAGCCCTGGCTTCATCTGAAAGGTCGTCAGAAGGATGTCTGGTCTAATTAGCATATTATGCTATTATTATTATAGATAAGTAGGTATTTTCAACTGGAAGATATATATTATATATAAATATTTTATCTATCAATATATATATTTTTTCAGTAGGTATTTTTCAACTAGAACATAGAAATAGGATAGTCACATCCTATGCTCAGTTTACCAAACCTTCCAAACCCTTAGACAAGCAGGGGTTCTGCCTGTCACCCACAGGTAGTTAACGATGCTAATAATAAGTGGTGCTTTGCCATTAGAGAACCTATAACCACCTTTCTTTTTATTTATTTTTCTTTATTGTTGAAAGTATTACAGATTTCCCCCCTTTTCCCTCATTGACCCCCTCCACCTTGGTCCCGCTCCCCCCTCCCCAGGCCTTCACCGCCCTATTGTCTGCATATGTGTTCTTTGGTTAATGATTTCCCCCTTCCCTTTCCCTCTGAAATTTGTCAGTCTGCTGCATGCTTCAATGTCTCTGTGGAATCTAATGAACAAAATAGATCCTCTAACCACCTTTCAGTGTGATGGGTGGCTCTCTCCCCAGTCACTAGCTCTGCAGCATGAACAGGAATCTTACAAATTGAGGAAGCAGTAAGAGAGCATTGCTTACAAGTTCTGGGAAGAGTGCGTTGGCACTCTATTTTTCCCTAAGAAGGTTTGCGTTTTTTTTTCTCAAGGCAAATCCAATCCTGTGACCAGCTTCTACTCTGGAGTCTGTGGCTCAGGGTGGGAAGGAGAGCTCACAGCCTTCATCTCTATAGACCGGAAGCCAGAAGCTGTGGCCCAGGCCAGGGACACATCGAGAGCAGACAGTTACGACTGGCTTGCATGCTATTTAAAATGATTTGAGCCAGTTGCCAAAAATTAAAGGCAAAGAGGATTTCACGTAGAAAGAAATCTGAATTTTGGGCCTTCTTAAAAGAAGTAGAATTGTTGGCAACACTGGGCTTGGTTTCTGACATGGCAGTTGGAGTTGGGTGGTGGCTGGCAGTTTACCCCGATCCTGGTGGCTCCTAGAAGGTGCCATCCCTTTCTGGAAATTGAAAAAAGGCAGATGAGTTAGAAGGTGCCCCATCGAGAGGACGTGGCCCACAAGCAACAGCTTTGGCACCATTGCTGGCACCTCCTGGCACCATTGTGCTCATCGTGAGCCCCGTAGACATTGGGTTTGGGACCACTGCCGGAGCCTCTGGAACAGTGGTTCTCAACCTTCCTCATGCCGCGAACCTTTAACACAGTTCCTCATGCTGTGGTGACCCCCAACCATAAAATTATTTTTGTTGCTACATAACTGTAATGTTGCTACTGTTATGAATCGTCATGTAAATATCTAATATGCAGGATGTATTTTCATTGTTACAAATTGAACATAATGAAAGCATAGTGATTAATCACAAAACAATAGGTAATTATATATGTGTTTTCCGATGGTCTTAGGTGACCCCTGTGAAAGGGTCGTTCAACCGCCAAAGGGGTCGCAACCCACAGGTTGAGAACCGCTGCTCTGGAAGAAGTCTGCCTGCAGCATCCGTCCCGATGAAAGAGGGCTGGCCTGGAGGGTCTTTGGTGGCGTGAGCACAGAAATGGAGGCCCCAGTGTTTGCCCCTGTTTCCCTTGAGAAGACGGCTGGATGGTTTTGTAGGAATTATCTGAGGCTAGGTCTCCCTCTCCTCGAGGTTCACTGTACTTCTGAGCCTCCATCCCCCCCTTGCACAGCCCCGTGCTGATTTGCCACTAGTTTATCTTTTCAGCCTATCAGAGGACCGTGTCCAGGCAGGATATGGTGATTTCTCTGGCATGACATAGGGGATGAGTTCTTTAACGTAAAGAGTTGGAGCAGACGTCTTGTGCCATCTTCGAATTAGCCAATCCCAGGGTCTCTCTCTGTTGACAAGTTGCCCTTATTAAGCGATGCCCCAAAGTGAACCCTGCGGCACTGACAATGGACAATGCCAAGGAATAGGGAGCCCCCCCATGGCCCCCGCAAACCTGAATAATAGTCTCTGTGTGGCTCCCCAAGAACCAGGAGCTGCTTTTTCGTAGCATTGAATGACAGTCACCGAAATCATTTACGTAGCGTGGCTACCTGTGACCCTGCTGTCTAAAGGGGCGATACAATGAAAGCAATACTACACCATCTAAGAGCTTGTAAAGTGATTCGTTAAGCACAGTTGGGTGATGTAATTAGGAGTCTGTTTTGGCAAAAGCATGACGTTCAGACTGGGGTTGAGCAGTGACTCTCACACTCAATAGTTACATGAACTTGGGCAAGACTTTTAATTCTGTGACCAGCAAAGGAAAAATAGTTAAACTATAACATGATGAGTGAGAACTTAGAGTGGTTAAGAATTCTGGAATTCCCTCCCTCCCCCATCTTACTTGCTGGAATAAATTAATGTCAAAAAGTCTCAGGTGCAAAAATAGCACCTTTCTAATAGGATTTGTTTGATTAAATGAGATAGAGCTTGTGTCTAGCGTGTGGTAGGTGCATAGGACCTGACCACTGGAAGTCCCAGCCTGGTGTAACAGAAGCTATCAGAAATATTGGTTCCCACCTGAGCTGGTGTGGCTCAGTGGATAGAGCCTGTGGACTGAAGGGTTCCTGATTGATTCTGGTCGAGGGCACATACCTTGGTTGCAGGCTCGACCCCCAGCCCTGGTCGGGCCCGTGCAGGAGGCAACCAATCAATGTGTCTGTCGCTCTCTCTCCCTCTCCCCCACCTCCACTCTGTCCAAAAAGAAAAAAAAAAGTCAATGGAAAAAATACTCTCTTCCTCCCTCTCTCTCTATCCCCCCTCTGCTCTCTCTAAAATTAATGGGAAAATATCCTCTGGTGAGGACTGGCCAAATATATATATCCTCTCTCCCCCAGGCTTGTGTCTTACTGCTTTGGGGACTAAGAATTTTTAGCCAATGGGAGAGACAGATTGTTGCATTGCTTAATAAATATTCAATGAATTGGTTTTATGGTGAAAAGTCTAAATGTATGACTATCAAGCTGTTTTGTGAAAGATCTGGCTTCTTCATTGGGGAGTTTGAGTGGAGAGTGAAGAATGATTTCCGTGCTTCAAATACTGCAGGACAATGCAATGTTCAAACAAAAATCAGGAGGCTCTCTCTTTAACAATGGGAGCGCCTGCCCGTTCCCTTCAGGCAGGAGCTCCTGGCTGCAAGCCTTTATCTGGGCACCCAGACCCAGCACAACACAGAGGTCAGGGCGCCAGTTTCGTCTGAGGAGCTTGGCGGTGTCAGCGTGGGTTTAGGACAGGAAGGGTGGTTGCTATGGAACTGTTAATAATGATCGCTGCCTGCGCCTCGGTGCCTCATGCTCTCCGTCTCCAATAGAAAACCACTTAGACCGGGGCTGGAGGGCAGTAAACAAACTTTCAAGCAAGAATTAACTGGGCCCAGGCATTAGTCTCCTAATGTAGGAAATGACTTTCAATATAACCTTTACCAACACTAGCTGCTTGGCTCTGTCCAAGGAGCTCCCGGTGAACTGATCTAGGCCTGAAATGCAGGAGGCTCAAACCTTGATTTTTTTGCCCCAAAGCAGAAACATTCTGGGCTTTCAACACACAATACATGTGAAAAAAATCTTTATTTTATGCCGAACTGGCCCTAGTGTGGGTCTTTTATTTTCCTGTGAATAAAGAAATCCAGATACAGGCTGGATGCCTAATTGGAAAGAGAAAA